TAAAATCATAAATAATATTCAATGTTAAACTGGTATACAGTTTAACATTGAATATTATTTATGATTTTAACAAACTTCATGTTAATATTTTCAGGTTCTGCCAATATGGGAGGGAACAACCAATATCCTGTCCCTAGATGTTCTTCGTAGTATCTCCAGAAGTAACAAAGAAGTATTGAAAGCATATTATCATGACATATTGGAGAGAACAGAGATGGCCAAGTCTATAGAATACTTAAAAGAGTCGTATGCTATGGTCATTGGGTCTCTAAATACCGTTCTTCAGTTTGTACAGATTAATCCTGACAAGTTAGAAGTTGCAGCACGTGATTTTGCCTACAGCTTAGCTAGAGTGTTTATAGGTAAGGATGTCCTTGAATTAATCTAATAATTTGTTTTTGTAAATTAGTACATTTGTTCATAGACTGATGCTTAACATATGCAACTGAATAATATATAAGGTGATTATGAAGAAAACACCTTATTTAGAATTATAATGTCCTAAAAACTATTTGTCCTAGGGTAACAAAATTTCACAAAAGGTACATTGAGAATCATAAGTTTTATTAAGGAAAGCATTTCTGGTATAAGCTGTTTCAAAACCACATTTTATACCTAAATTACTTTCTCACAAATTAACACTGGTTTTATTTTTCTTTCTTCCTATAGTCTGAGAAAGTGATTTGAACAAATTCATGTGAGGGTACAAGATCATCAAGCCTTGATCACAATAGATGATGCTACAGTAGCTGATTAAAAATGATGGCAAGCACATTGAACATCTTCTATGATAGTTTTAAAATGCTGTATAAATATTCATAAAATTCTACTGTACAAATATGTATATATATATTTTATGGACTATTCTTTACATAAAAATGCATATAAAAAATATTTTTCCCAGTATAAAAAAGAACAAGGCCAAAAGGTTTTTTTCACAGTTTTTCAGACATTTCTGTCATCATTTTTACTGATGAGGCAATTCCAACTTCAGGCATCAATATTAAATCCTATTTCTCCAAGAAGTTGGTGTTATGGATAATTAAGTCAAGAAGAACAGCACTGGAAAGTTATCATTCCTTTAATCCCACACTGTATACTGCAGTTTCCAAACAATGATTTTCATCTCATTGTTTTTTTTTATGAGTAGCACTTGCCATTATTCCTTTTGATATTAGTATTAAACTAACCAATTAGTGCTGAATTAACACACTTTTATAACACTGTTTTGCTGAAGTATGCTCAATTATCAAAAACTTGTTAACATTCAGGGATTCATAAGAAAAAAGGTTATAAAATACAGTGCCAGTGAAGTATTAAGATATTAGGTCTCTGTACTTTATCCCTATGCCATATCCCACAAATATCCATGGCACAGATTTTTATGAAGTATAGGTGGATTAATTTTCAAATCAACACTTCATAAAAATCATTTTACAGTCTTTTTGAACATTAGCAGTTTCAGAACAAGGTAAGAAATTTCAAACATGGATACCAGTCTATCCCTTATTAGTTGTTAAGAAAAAGACTCCTCACAACTGTATATATATGTGTGTGTGTATGTATGTATATATATATATAGAGAGAGAGAGAGAGAGAGAGAAAGAGATCCAAAGAATAAGTTTTGTTTTATAAGTAAAATTCACCAAACAAAAGTTTGCAGTATACAGGCATACCACACGTACTCTATCTTCTCATACAGAAATTATAAAAGTTACCATTGTTGTTCTCTTGAGTGAATACCTGCTCCACCTGCAGGGACATTGCTGTAACATAGCACATTGTGCAAGGTCAATGACTGCAATGTCCTTCACTGTTGAGTAGGTGTTATATAAAGGTTGCAGCCTTCATTGTGTTGAGTGAAAGTGACCAGTCACATTAGTTGCTATGATTTAATCTCACATTTACTATCAAGTAAGGAGTGTTGGACTCACACAATTCTCTATGGAATCTGACATGAGTTGGTTGACATAAAAACATTTTGAAGGAAGAGTATCTGCTAAATGATTCACAGGTTCTGGAGGAGGCTGCTGTGCTAGATCTTATACAAGTATCTGCTTTTTGTCTTTGATGTAGGTAATGATTGTTTTTCACTTTAACTAACACATCCAATCTGTTTATTTTCTTAGCTTAAAACTCAATCAGCTTAGCTTCTTCCCTTCCAAAGTACCTCTTCAAAAAATTGGTTTGGTAGACCTTGGTTGTCCCATCCACTTTCACCTTATAGTGCATTCTGTTGACCACTTCCTGTACTGCAAAAGGTCTTTTCCACTGCAGGGTGAGTTTGTTGTTGTCTGTGGGTAGCAAAACTAAGACCTTCTGTCCAGTGTAGAAATGTCGACCCTTGGCTTTCTTGGCAAAAAAAATGCTTCAGCTTTCCTTTGATTCTTTTGCCTCCCCACTAGAATTGCTTTGATAGATCCGGTACAGAACTTCTTTCCGGTCTTCTACTTTGTTAGTCTCTTTCCATTTTGTATTGTGCTCGATTTTCTCTCAGAAACTGTTGCAAAGCTTCTGCATTGAAGGATCTTTCTTCTGCACTTTCTTTGGTTCCAATAGACCTACATTCTGGATGTCACTCTTTGAGACTTTAACTTTAAGAGGCTTAATATCTTGCTTGCTCTTCTTTTCTTGAGCTTTAGTGGTGATGGCAGATGCTTCATCCATCTTCTTTCTGTCTGCTTCCTCCAAACTTCTACTGCCTTATATATTTATAATCACCAAGTCATACACAATGCCTCATGGTCTCCCACGTAGTATGGAGTGTCCACCTTTATCCTTGCTATGGGAAAGTGTTTCACTGTCCCATCAATCAGCACACACTGATGTATCTTGCCCATCATATGGTCATCAGATACTAGACTGGTTCTCACTGCTGCACTTCTGCACCCAGTATCTCATAGGACTTTCACTTTCTTGACATAGCCTTCATCTACTGGTATATTGTAATTTGTTGGCACTTCTTGATATGTGTAACATGCTCCAAATATTTCTGGCACTATTGATCCATTTGCTAACTTCAGCAGACCATTAGTCATACACTGATCAATCATGGAAATGACACTTCCTTCTTGTGGTGAACCTGATGTGTTTCCTTAATTCTGTTTCTTCTGGCAGCAACTTCCATGGTGAAAGTCGCTCTTCTGTTGTTTTGTGCTAGCACCATCTTTGTAGGTAGCTCCAGCAGCTTTATGTTGATATTTATGCTATTGCTTGTTGGTAATGCACTTGCACTCCTTTGCAATGTGCCCTATTTTATAACAAATATAACATTTATTCTTCCATTTCTCTGTTAATCTCCTGTCACCTTTGGTAGACTCCTGCTCCTGGTCAGCCACCACTAGTTTCAACTTTAACTGGATATTCTTAGACTTGCCAGTTATACTCCCTATATGGGCTTCCATATACTGTTTTGCCAACTTGAACATTTCATCCATGTCTTTTAGTGCTCTCTCCTTTAAGAACAGTTGAGTATATGATCATGAACTGTTCACATATTAGTAGATCTGTCAGTCCCTCAAAACTATTGTCACATTTGGCTGTGTCAGTCCATCTTGTGAAGTATTGCCATAGACATACCACAAACTGAAATACAGTTTCTCCAGTGTGAGGCTTGACTTCTCTGAATTTCTGATGAAAACCTTCTTCAATAAGCTTATATTGTTTCAGCAAGGCTACTTTTAATTTGTCATAGTCCATGGCATCTTCTGACGTCATGGCTGCATATACTTGTAGGCCTTTTCCTGTGAGAGGTGGGCTGAGACAGATTGTCCAGTCACCTTTGTCCCAGTTCTTACTTGGGGTGAATCTTTCATATCTCTCCAGAAAAGCATCCATATCATCTTTCTGTTCATCAAATCTTGGCAGTTTGAATTGGCTGGCCCTGACCACATTGTCATTCTTGGGTCCTTCATCTTTCTGTTGGGTGAGCTTGGCAATATCAATTTGTGCTCTTATTCTGTTTATTTTTGGTCTCTTCTCTCTCTCCTTTTCTTCTTTTAGTGTTTCTCCCTCTCTTCTCTGTCTCTCCTCCTTTCTCTTCTGTTGTTGCTCTTGTCTCTCTAGTTCTTGTTGTTGTTTGATAAGCTCTCAAAGTTTGCAGTCTCTTAAGCCAAGATGCTCACCTCTTTCAATCCACTTATCAAAATCTGTTGACATGGTTATATTGTGTGAATGTAATCTCTACACAATTTTTGCCACCATTACCATTGTGTGTATATAGGCCTACTTATATTCGCTGTCTTTCATGTCTCCTTACAACACCATTTACCATTGTATAATGGTGTCTGGTTCACCAAATGTCAGGGTTTTAAGTATGAGTGGGCTGAGGATTCTTCTGCATTAGGTGTCTGCGACTCATTGGCGATAACTTCGAACAATAAACAGACAGCACACAATCCACTTGTTTTAGTATAATACATATTCAAAACAAGTCAAATTCTAAAATATATACAAAAATTCTTTACACTGTAGGAAATCACAGTGTTATCGAAAACTTAATAATTCTCTTTCTTCTCAAAAGTCCACACAGGCTGATTCAATTACTTTAGAATTCAATTCACAAGACAAATTATTTTTCTCTGCTCTGTTTCTTACTGTATAATGTGCGATAAATTCACTTACTTGAACTTTAAATGACTGTTTCCTTTTCACCAAAGTCCACACAGATGGGTAAAGCAGCAGCATCCTTTTCACACCCAGCAAAACCTAAGACCTTGATATCATCTGCAAATTTAAGTAATTTATTGACCATTCCTTCATCTATGTCACTGATCTAAATCGGAAAGAGAAAAAGTCCTAACACTAAGCCTTGAAGTACCCCCATTTGTGATATTAATCTAGTTTCACTGAACTTCATTTATAACAACCCTCTGCTTTCTTCCATCCATCAATTGTCTATCTAATTTGGTAATTTATCCCCCACACCTACAGAGATCATCTTTTTACAAGCCTGTTATGTAGCACCTTGTCAAATGCTTTCTGAAAATCAGATACACCAAATCTACACCCTTACCCTCATCTACACAAG